GCGTGTTTGATCCTCTGCATTATGATGTAGCTAAGTATTTCGCTTAGGATGGACAGGAGCATAATGCCTCGCCAGTTCTTGCATTGACTTAAGTCTCCTTTCTTTGGGAGTTTGAATAAGTATCCTTTCTTCCAATCCTCAGGTAATTTGGCCTCTTTCCACACCTTCTGCAGCAATGGCGTAATCAAATCTATTTTCAATGCTTCTATTGGGATTCCATCTGGTTCTCCTGCATTTCCAGCTTTTAGCATCTTGATTGCATTCAGGACTTCTGATGTCGTCGGGGGCCACTCAAAAATATTAAATGTAAAACAAAAGAATGACATTTCGATAGGAATATTTTGATTTTATACTGATAAATTATAATTACTACTACGGTAGTAAAGTACACTATACTTATGACTGTTGAAGGTGACATTGTGAAATTTCCTTATCCTCGGAACACTCATTCCCTCTTCTTCTCCCCTCTGTGTTAGATATCATTTCAAGCATTAATCAAATAACTGTGATATGAGTAACTACGATTGAAGTGACTAGTCCAGATTTCGTCTACCTCATGTCAGAAGGCCATGCAATTTATGACCAACTCCACTACTACTATTCGCAATCAATGAAGCCTTTTTTGTAGAAATTTATAAAGCAAAGGTAGTTAAATATGCGTGGGTGTGGAAAAGTGATATGTATGGGGATCCTTTTTTAGTTCGATACTTGAAACATGTAAATAAAGGTGACAGATATGGTGATAATCAATAGAAGCTACGTTTACCTAAACGTTTGTGCATTGTGTGTAGTATTGTGTACATGTGTACGTGTGTGGTGCATTTAAACAACTGTAAGGGTGGTAGCCTCATGCCCGACTTTCTCTCTTTACCAGTCTTATTCCTGGCTTAGCGAAATTTCAGGAGCGTGTCAGTGGATGATCATATCTCGGACGACATGCTGCGTGGTTGGCGAGCCCTGTACCGCTGTGCCACCGACGCCTCGTAGGAAAGATCAAACTTCACAAATTGTAATAAAGGCTTTATATATATATATATATTATTTACCACCCTGATGAAATCATTGTGATCTTCCCTTCCTTTTATTGGAGAGACAGTCAAATCGTAATAAATTAATGAATAAATTCAACTACTCGTGAGTAGACATTTGAAAAAAATTATATTTGTGAAATCTCAGCGAAATTGAAATGATTAATTCCAACGTTTCGTTCGGCAATCTGGTGCGAACTTCTTCAGGGAAAATAATCGAAATTAACGCGACAGAGGTTTATATATAAAAGGAACAACTCTTGTTTTAAAAAATTTGGTCAGTCATGATTCATGAAACAGGGATCAACATATATAATAAACAAAATTGTATTTTCATACACAAAAGAACCAGCAGAATTGTGTGTACCAGATCATTGAGGGAACTGTAACGCCGTATATGTAAGAGAAACTCCAGACAAGTAAATATTATAGTAAAGATCATAATTAAATGTCTGAAGTTGGTTCAAAAGATCTTCGCAGACTTAAAGAAGCTAGAAAACAAATCAGCGAATGCACTCCATTCGATAGAAACGGGACATAAAATCGACTTTGATAAGACTGAGGTTCTACAGAAAGGTTTTGATTTGTATAAAGAAAGACTGACTGAAGTATCCCTATATATATGAGTGAATCCCGACAGTTTGAACAGACGTGAAGGTGTGATGTTAACTGATGCATACCAAATCCTGACTTATAAATAAAAATCGGATATGTATCAACAATTAATCCTACTTGGTCAAAATCCCCAATTGTCTTATGTCTTCTTACGGAAAGGTTAACAAATGTTTTATGACTGTTCACCCACACAAACATACACAAACATCATGGCATACTGCATATTCACATATATTTTAACACAAGTAGATAAATGTTGAAAGTCTGAGGTGAAATTCTGATCACAGCTCATACAATTTTGTTTGACACCTGTTTTATGAACCATGATTGGATAAAGCTATTAAAAAAGAGGCGTTCGTTCTATATAAACCTCTGTTAAGTTGATTTCGATTAATTTCCTTGAAGAAGTTTGAACCAGATTGCCTAAAGAAACATTGGAATTGATCATTTCAATTTTGCTGAGATTTTACCAATATAATTACTCGGCGCCAAATTATTTTGCAACTGTTCTGTCAAATCTTAATCGCAGTTCATATGAATACTTATAAGTCGCTAGTCTGACTTATTGAAAATGTCTCAAAGTATTTATATCCATAAGTGCATACAATACTGAGACTTAAAGAAGCATGGAGACACTGAAACCAATATTTTGATATTTACTCGGATATACTTCAGTTATATTGATTTGTGTGTATGACATGAAATTAAATATGAATAGATTATTTGATGCTCAAACCTTGCAATAACCGTGAAAGTAGATGTGAGTATCATGTTGACATAGAGAGGAGAAGAAGACAGAATGAGTGTTCCGAGGATAAGGAAATTTCACAATGACACTTTCAGCAATTATAAGTATAGTGTACAGTGTACTGTAATACCGTAGTGATAATTATTCAGTATAAAATCAAAATATTCCTATCGAAATGTCATTCTTTTGTTTTACTTTTAATATTTTTGGGTGAAAACTAACATGTCAATTGGAAATGTGACAGTCAACAGAAAGATGAATCAGACTTTCAATATATGAAACCTTATTATGGCTTATATTTATGTGAATGATTAACTCTCCTTGTACACTCGAAAACGCAGCAGATGTCCTCCCGAAATAGCAAATGACAATATGTTCATTAGGACTATGAATGGATGTTATAACATCCCTCGAAATCATCGTAAGCACGCGATATTTGAGCATACTAAGATATCTCAGTCATTTGACCCCTAGTTTGAAACTCTTCATCAACTGTCAAGAACTTTTCCTTGTTTTTTCGGTCATAAAACCACTAAATGTAAGAATACATTAATCAGTGCAGAAGAATTAAAATCACACTATAAACCATATTTTCCAGGGTTAGTTTGTAGGGATTTCATTGGTTTCAATTTTGATTTAGGATTGATAGGGGTGGTTTCATCCCACTTTTGAACTATTCACAGTACTCTTAGATGACCCTGTCTGGAGAATTGGACCAGTAACCTTTAGATTACGAGGATGGAATCCAATGGTACAGGAGTCGTAACTTCTTTGAAGTGTACTTCGGCGGTACAGCGGTTATGACTCTCGCCGAGCATTCACATGGTCTGTGGTTTTCTCGGCTCCCGACGTACAGCTGACATCGATGGTCGGCCTTCAAAATTTGTGGTACCGATATCACATGCTAAAAATTTCGTACCTCTATCAAAAATACTGTGTGGAATCACGCTGGAATCAAAAATAAAATAAGCAAATAATATCCTTAGGTCAAGTGACTTTCAGATCAATGTTGTGCATTTTCTGAAGGAGGCAAAGATGAAGAAATAGCATAAGGAATTGATTTTCTCTTCAGGTCATACACAAATTTTTCATGTGACCTGATGACAGTTACTATTTCACATTAAGAATCTGAACAATCAGAAACGATTATGACATAATTTACGCTGAGAATTCTGTACGTTATACAAACCTATGTTCAGAATAAAACTGCTGCTGTTATAATTACTGTTATCATTATTACTATTATTATTATTGACTGTAGTATGATACATTATTTAAAATGTACTTTATTGACATTAGATATTTGAGTGTATTGGGTGTCAATGAGATGCTTTCATTGACAGTCACAGAGACAAGTTCGGTGGCGCAGTGGTGAGGACACTCGTCGACCTTGCACACAGTCCGAGGTTCGATCCTCTGCCAACGCACACCTGATATCTATGGTAGGCCTGCAAAATTTGGGCTACCGATATCCATGCTGAAAATTCCATACTTGTACCGAAAATACAGCGTGGAATCAAGTTGTAATCACCGGTTACATGTTTTACATTCGATTATTGAGACAATTGGCCTTGGAATCATCGGAAAAATCTCTTTGCAGACAGTCGAATGTTTATTGTAGACTGTCTTGAATTAAGCGGTAGATTTACAATAAACAAGACATTTTGTTCTGTTTCGTTGTGTAGTGTGTGCGTTTGTTTGTTGTAGGATAGGATATTGGATATGATTGGTGTGGATTTGCGATGTGCTTATGGTTTGGTCTAGTCATCTTCTGTATTGGTTTAAGGTACCACTCCGAGTGGGTGTCTGTTAGAGTGCCACCTCCATCATGTGATTTTTACGTACACTGGAGGAAATACCGCCAAGACAATATCAGTTATTAGTAGAGTGTAGAATAACCAACCAAAAGGATTGTTCTTTTGTCTTCTTGGCGCTACTGAATATTTATCCAATCAGTTGAAGAAGCCTAAGCAATATATGTAAAACGAGTTAATTCTACCACTCCTACTATCATGAAATACCGTGTTGCTCCCTTTCAACGTGATTCTCTTTCTCTCTGTTGGCTCTTCCACCTCTCTTATTCCTTTCTAACTCACTCTCACATCATCCCATAATGGCCTTCATTTCTATGTGGATCGTAATCAGGACTCAATCATTAAGTTATTCATCTGATTCATAACTCGAATTCAGTGGATCAAACCTTTTAGTGCATACACTACTAACCACAACAATGATTGTGACGGCTGAACACTTCTCTTGCTACCCCCTTTGAAGGAAACAAAATTGCGCATAAATATAATTGTTCATCAAAATCTGAACTTGAATCCTCTGGCAAGTGTCAGTACTCAGAACTATGTGTTCTATCTCCCATTTGCATTTATGCATGGGTATTATTGGAATTTGCCGACATACCTATAAATTGTGTATACGACTACTCAATTCAATGTGGATATAAGACTCTTCGTGAATTTCAGCTCTTCCATATTGTAATTGCCTGCGCATGACAAAAGCAAAAGCCACATAAACGAGACACATTGCAGTTAAATCAATCATTCAGTGATATCCCAGCATAACAGAACACTTCATATTTGTTGATAACATGAAAGGAGTTTATGAATACACATTTATTCTAGAAGATCTAATCTACAGAAAGAGGAAGAAAAATACTTGGTTTTACTAACTTCAGAGCAGAGCATTTAAAACTATTTTTCAGTTATACCGAATGTATTATTTCTTGTTTTGTCATTTGCTCTGCAGCTCTAATACTGATTTGCACAGACATACTCTATTTGATTTGATTAGGAATTGGCATGATGGTTTGAAAACGATTCCAGTCTTTACACACTCTGGAGACAGAAGAAGGGAAAGAGAGACGACAATCAAGTCATGAATACAAATCACAATCGATTTTGATAAATCTAATTTTTAAAAATGGATTGTATAATAAATAGAGTTAAATTTCTAGAATCACAGGCAACTGTGTAGATAGGCTGTATATAAATAACCAATTCTAGCGATGTTTGTCCCGCACAGAAGTGAATATGTCTGAGAATAGAAAATAACATGTCGTCTAACGAATGGGCATAGAGGGAAGGAGGTGGATTGAATATGCGCAGTGGAGACCGTTGAGTGATATCACGTGCAAGGTTGTCACCGATTTGTGCTTGCGTGGGCGGTGGTGAGTTGGATGACTGTCTGTGTTTCAGATGGAATGGGAACCTATGGACAATTGTTGTGCAGCCAGTTGAAGAGCATTTTGCAATTCATTTAGTAATTTAAACATTTTGTGAGTTCTTTTCTGACATTTGTCTCATCACACAAAATTCATACTACATATCGTATGGTTCAGCTTACTCATCTTCCTGCCCACAGCAGAATAATTTCTGATGCAATTTCTTCTGCATTCACACTTGTATATGTATAAAGAGGAAGTTGCGAATATTAATAATCATGTTCGATATCAGGTGAGCAGCGTTTGGCCAACTGCTTTCAAGTAATCATGTGCGTATTGACAATTTTGTCAGTTAGCTAGGTCACCACCAACCTTACTTACAGTCTCCAATGTTCTACATCTGATTTTGAGATGTCCATGGAAGCATGAGTGGGGCAAACAATAAAGAAGAATGAACCGAAAATATGAGTTGATCAACTGCCTCACGTTACCAGTCAAACGAAATTTTTCTCTAGAAATCGACAAGATTTAAAACGATCAACAGAGATCGAAACGGATACTAATGCCGAGACAGGATATATTCGGTTTACTCCTTTTCACCATGCAGTCAATAATACAACAATCAGTCGGCGCGCGTTTTGTTCATATCTGAAACTGAAATCAACAGACTGTGTGAATTTTATGTGGATTTGATTGTAGATTGTCCCGACTGGGACTATTTGTTCACTTCAGATAAGAGTCTATTGATATGAAAAGAATGCAATGCAGACGATCCTGGGAGTTTGTCGACAAATCATCGGCACGTTGAACAAAATTAGCCTCACTGGAATACGGATGATCATGAATAACGGAGAGAGAAATTGAGAATCTACAACGCTTCTAGGCATATCAGTTTCTGTTATCAACACATTCGAACTGTTTTTATAGAAAGCCATAATTTATTTTCTATGGAACTTGCTGAGCTCTGCAGGGGCAAGTGAATTCACAAACACCCGTGTCATCATTATTATTTTTCTCACCTGTTACATCAACTTGTTCACGGGAATTACATGAGGTATGAAGCCATAACATTTGACACCAGAAGTACGATTCTTTTCACACAGGACAATATCAACAAAAGGAGGTCTCAGGTTTCTAGTCGAGATAAGGATATTGTGAAAATGTATGCAGCATTCTTGATAGTAAGATTGGCATGCTTATGAAACCATTATCAAGTGATTTAAATGTGATGGAGCATATAAATCACAAAAAAGGAAGACTCACAGAGAACCGTCACGAGTTCCTCCTCCTTTTGCTACCTCAACATCGTTCGCTTGCTTCATGTCAACTGTCCATGTACAGTTAGAACCTGTTACTATAACTTTGTATTCATTATTCAAAGTGAATTCGACCCCCCATAATTTTATAACCTGTTTTTCACCTTGAAATAATATAAACAAAGATACATTTTAATGGTATACGGGAAATGATTGAATCATCCACAAGTAGACTTAGTTCGTGATTGTCGTGAAATAATAGTGATCTAATGATCAGTTGAGTTTAGAAGTTCAGTTGGTAGAGATCAGGAATGAGAATTTTTAAGTCACTGATTCATATCCCGCAGCAATAGTGATTTATGCTCCACATTTATTCGTAGCAAATTTTTTGTCAGTGGTATTCTTTCAGTCCATGTCATTCTTATGTGTAGATTTACAGTAGTGTGAACAGACTAAATAGTGAGCATTTATCCTGTATATTGACCAATAAACTGTTTTGAAGTGGATCAAACCAGAGAACATCCAGTGAGATGGAACCTAGGATCTTCAAGTGACGAACCAGGCTCATTTAGTCTTTAGCCACTAGGAAAACACATAATAAACCATCAATTCTAACTCATTTTTCAAATCCCTTAAGATAGCATGACTGCTAGGCAATATCGCCGGTGAGAATCTGCCATTTTGCTGAAGTTCGTGAACACTAATCAACAAGACTTTGCACTAGGTTTTCAGACAGAAATTTACCACTGAAATCTGTTGAACATCAAAGTCGAAACAAATCAATTCGCGGCATTCTTACACCTGAGGATTCATATAACTTAAGTAATCCTACGATTTCTAACTCCAGTCCTGTCAGCGTTCTTTGCTTGCTGAGAAGATTTGACTTCGCTTCACGTTTTCTTGTATAAATTAGCCATACTTCACTAACTTACTTACTAACTTACGTAACGACTCACTAACACGCTATGTGTGTGTCACTATGTGACGTTTTTTCTTCAATGAATCGAACTAATTAATACGACCATTGTTTGATAAAAATTAGAAGAGAGTGGGAAACCAACAGGGAGTAATGAAAAACCAGCTGTTTCATCGTATTTTGAGGCTCATCATCAGTTCCCAGTCAGAGGTATTCGAACCTAGGAGGATATAAGTTAGAATTCATGGTTGATTGAGTCGAGTTACATTGACTAAATGGTCTGTGAACTACCCTGCCTTGTAACCAGAAGGTCCTGGTTTCGAGCCGATGCAGTAGAGAAGTGCTGCCGATGAATTCGAAACTGAGCTATCAAAACAGCTGCCCATTATTTCTCACTGTATTCCACCAGCTCTCCAGAATCGTGTCAATCCGTGATGCCACTCACTAACTATTGAGAATCAACGTATTTCAAAATCTAAAGGAAGTGTATATTTTTTTTTGTAATTATGAGCTTGTACAGCTTGTGAGCATGAACTCATCCTTTCTGAGCTTTGTTTTCTCTTCGTTCTAATGTTCTGATAGTGAGCGGTTTCCAGTGCAAATTCAAAATATTTCGTCGTCGAAGAATCAGTGCTCAGGGATTTGTAGTAACGCAGTCTATGTGCTTTCATATTATTTAAACAGCTTTCTGAAGCTGAAATACGAAATAAGCGGTGTCCATGGATTGAGTTGGCTCGGTTGTTCTCAGATCATATGGGAGACTACGACCTGAATGTTAGGTCAATATGCTAAACACCACATTTAGGCATATATAGTTAATGAATGGTAGTTTGAGAGTTAGTCAGTTAGTTTGTACATTATATATGAATCGACAAAGAACAATGTGTCTCTTTTTCAATTGTGTGCCGTTGAAGATACAACACAAAACAAACACGTAAATGGATGATCTTGAAGCGAAATATATTATCGCCGACATTCCCAGAACATATATGAGAGCTTGTACAATCCAGTATGCTAGACATTGAAACGAAACAATTATTAACTATCACATTGAAAACTTGCTTACAGCAAACACTATTATAATTATTATTGCTCTTTCATCTCCTGAAATTACATCGTCTCACCTAATCCAACCCCTGCAAAACGCATGCACAAATCTCCATTTCACAATAAGCGTCCACAACGTGTGTCGGATCAAACCCCGTTTGCTTCTGCATATTTCTTGAACAATAGGTTATCCGTTGGTTTCTACCTACACTTTTGTTTTTCCAGTCAGACGTGGAGTAATATCTGAGATTAGACGAGGGCTATTGAAGAGAGCTGTTGAAAATAATATGCAGCTGGTTGTTCGAAGTACTAATCAATACGCGTGTGCCAAGTTTATGACTCATACAGAAGATGTGACAGACTGCCTGACCTACGTGAACAACGTGAAAAACACTTGAACGCCATCTGATGCTCTTCCCTAATATGCACACATCATTCCATTAGGAATGCGAACAGAGGATTCCTGATGACAACATGATTCCAGTCACTATTCATTCACTATGACAGAACTACAGATGCCAATGAATTCTTTATTCTTCTAATCGGCAATATATAGCACCACTGCCATCCAATCTTATCATCCGTGAGGATGTGCTCTCACAGTGGTCAGAAATTCTCACTGGAATTAAAGATAACTTTATCTTGGAGTGTGTGAGTCATTCAAGAGTGTAACGTATCATCACTTCCAAGGAGTGATTTATCGAGAAGCGGTATTAACGGTGAAACAATAAATTAATTCAGTCATTTACACACAGAGAATCAATTTGAATTACCTGATTTATCAAAACTTATGACATACGGCATTTCACCTGATTCAATTACTTCAAAACTGACTATGCTTACACTGATGAATATGATAAGGTTCAATTTTGTCATCTGAAACACCATTTTACTGAAAATAGATAATAAAAGGAAGAACAATGACATTCAATTTGAGGTAATTTGAAGGGAAAAACAGTGAGTGACTTTTACAGTTGCTTTCGATTCCACGTGGAACATACGGAATCGAAAACACATCTCACAGTTTCCTCTTCTCTAAGGTCTCCTGAAACGTGGCCATCGCTGATCATCTCCAGCCCACACCATCTTCCATATTTCATCGTCAGACCGACGCACATCTCGTCGTTTCCATTTTAGCTGGTTATCGAACGATGGTCTGGTGCGCAATAGACGGCATCAGTAATCATAAAGCCATGAATAACGCTCATGACATTAATGTGTTGAATATTCTTCAGACTAAGTGGAACTATGAAATCAAGTATGCGGATTACTTGTCGGATGCTGATTAACTTGACCGTCTAATGAATGAAATTTACTAGTCAATTCTTCACAATCTGAAGATATGAAATTAAACCACAGTTCGGTTTGCAAGGTGAAATTATCCACAGTGTAATGTGTGATCTGCTAAATGCGCCCAATAGTAATCAAAGAGACAAGCATATGTTTATAACACCGTGTACTACCAACTGATTGAGACACACACAAAGATCAACAAGTATTGCTTGCCACCTAGGCAGCTAGGTTGATTTGATCCTCACACGCAGAGGTCTTTACTCTCATTTTGACCTTAAAGCATCAGCAGCTAACCTGGTCAAACTCAACTCAGTCAGATCTGATAATTCAAACATTCCAGTTTCTTGTTTGCTTGTTTGACTGTTTCAGTTGAGTCAAAACCTGTACACAGCTGACAATATTCGCTCCAAATGAGTAAAACACTTATTTGGAGTTCTGGTCACTTCAATTATTCTGGCCAGTGAGGCGGCCATATTAGTAAATATGCAGTATAGTAACATCATTCACTGGTGAGTACCTATAAAATCCTATCTACAGATGATGCATATAATAGTAGCAAGATTCAACTCTCAAGCATGAAAGGAAGGTCAGAATTATTACAACGTGAAATCAGTTTAGAAGAAGGAGGATTTTCGCACACAAACAGTGATATAAAACAACCCAAATGGTGAAATCAGAATCCTCTTTGGCGATATGAATGCGAAACTGGTAGAAGACAATACAGGAAGAGAACTTATCATGAGTCTGTGGCTCTGGCTAAGCGTAATGAATGAGAACGGATAATCGTTCGCAGACTTCTGCGCTTCTAATGACCTGGTGTTCGGAGGTGGTGTGCGCATGCACTGTACTATAAACAAAGAAACGCCGGTTTTGCCTGATGGACAAACAACAAGCCAGACAGATTTCATCTCAGTGCTGCTCCAGTATGTGGAGATGCATACCACTGGACATAAAGTCGGGAATGTGAGCAGATGTGCTCCTAGAGGAAGAAACTCACAGACATTTATAACTTAATTCATCTCATCCGTTTTATGTCTGCCTGTGAAGGCCGCCTTAGTTAGGTGTCTAAAATCCATGCAGTAGCACTAAGTAGCACAAGAGAGGACCTGAATGACAAAATAAAACAGACAGAAGAAGCGTCGGTAACAAATAACCTCTCAATAAAATTCATTAGGGAGATCAGAAGAGATCGAAAGCAAAGTAAAAATAATTGTGAAACTAGTAGTGACAAGACAAATAAGAGAGAACATCAGCCATCTACTGTTATACCATATAGGGAGGGGACATTGTAGACCCTCTCCATGTAGTGTTCTTAATTAAGCAGGCAGTAGAGTGGCATTTAAACCTACAAACTCACTTAGGGACAAGCTGTGTAGATTGAAGGATCCTTTCGGTTGACTCAATAAGAGAAAATAATATAATTTACAAAATACGTTGCAATGACTGTGACTTAGGTCAACTACACAGGTCAAACTTCAAAGTTCGAGGCAGTAAGATTTCTCGAACATAAGAATTTAGCTAAGGTATGAATGACTGACCCTGAGAAGGAAGTAACCCAGAAATAAACCCAGCAATTGCACGGCGTGCATTAAAACACAACGAAAGAATACGGTAGAAGGAGGAAGTTAATATTCTATGAAGTAATCTACGTAGGTGGAGATAGAGAGAAGTTGAAGTTGAATGGTTCAGGAAGTCTACACTCAACATGTGCAATAGGATGGAATGACTCATCAATCATAACTGAAACATATAAAGTACTACTACTACCGATCAAGTCAAGCGATGAAAAATAATAGAACTACAGGAAAGAAGTTAGAAAGTTATGTGAGCAATGTCTTGATATGATTATGAGCAATAAATTGCGCTCTAAACGTCAACAGTGTATATTACTATATGACACTGTAAGAGTTTATCAAAATACATTTTAACTATAATGGAATTATACTCTACCACAGTGCATGGGTTTTATTCCCATGTGAAGGATCCGGCATACATTGAGGAGACTGTCGAATAACATCACAAACAAGGCCATCGGTAGTGTGGTATCCAAATAAGGAGTGACAAGTGGGTCGTCTTAAGACGATATGATGGTTGTCTTGCGAGCAAGAGATGACAGATTATAGTCATACAGAAAATCAAAACAAGTGATTCAGCGAAGAGACTCTTTTCAAAGAATTTATCATCAAGCTGTTTAGTCGTACATATATGGTTTATATGAAGTTATATCCGGTGAGGGAATTAAATCTTAGGTGTGAATCCATAAGTTAATAATATTAATATGAATTGCAATTAAAACTAAAATGTTTGTGATTACGATCGTAGTTAAGTGTCAAGTGGCAAAGCATATTAATGTCATATATAGAATAATTCATAGGATAGATAGAACTTGTAAAAGGGTGCACAAATATAGGATTAGTAGACCAATAGGATAAAACAGAAACGTTACGTAATATTGTGTGAAATTTGATAGTATAGAATATAACGTTGTAAAAAGAACTGAATTAGAATGACAAGTGGAACAATTGAAATAATACCGGGGAGAGTTCAGAGTGAGAGTAGTAATAGTAACAATTCACGTAATTAGGAAGAGACTACAAATTGAATAGAAATGAAAAAATTAAAGATTGGTAGAGCTAATATATGACTGGAAATTACAATACTTTCGCGTAGAGGGATTAAGACCATGACATTTCGAGGGGTTGAATGAACTTTTCCTGTGCACAGGGATCTGGCTTTTCTATTTCGATAGCCAAAGCTTCAGCAATGCAGATGAGTCGGGTGTGTAGTGATTTGAGTAAATTACTTTTTGCTTTGCAGATGACTTTAGAGGCGGAGGCTATAGAGATAAGATGATCATTAACGACCAGATATTCAATGATCGCGCTTCTAATTGCTCTAATTCCACCTTTTCGTAGCCATGCATGATAGTGTTATTGCATCCTCTTGGACAAAATTCGAGTCGAACGACCGATAAACCTAGCTCCACACGAGCAGGTGAATAGATAAAAACACATAGACTTCGACGACATCGGGATCTTGTCCTTCAGTTTATTGAACAGTAATGGTCGTCCAGCAAGGGCTATTATCAGGGATGCAGCAGGCAATGTTCTTTTCAGGGAATGAATATAACCATGCGTATAATCACAAACATTTTACTTTTAATTGCACTTCATATTATTATTATTATTTTATGCATTCACACCTAAGATTATAGTCAGTTGTGGACCCAGCTCAAATAGGAAGCCAGAAGACAGAACGGAGTGAAGATGTGCTGCTCTAGCTCCATATTCCACTTGGAAACCAAAGGAATAAAACGTATTGATATTTCGGTTGAGTGTGAAGCAGAAATCAACCAATGTCAAAGTGAACACTGATCAAGGCTCTCGTTGATTATACTTTTGCTTCTAGCGATAATCATGGCACGTACATAATGTATTGTTTTCTGTTATACTTTTTTGACATGCAGCCGTATACGTGAACAAAAGCTTATTTTAAACATCGTCATTACCTTCAGCTGCTTCTCTGACTGATAGCGACCATCAATTTCAGCTTATACTGATCAATTCGAATGAAATGAGGCAGTGAAATTTAAGTGGAAAAAGAAATACAAAGCAACAATATTCGTAAATTGAAAATTAGAAGCGCCAAACATGTCGTGGAGAATTCTGGAAATTCTGGTGATCAGATAGACAGAGATTAACAGACCCATGCATTGAAATATAGATGAATTAAATGAAGTGTGAAATAACAAGCTAGATATCTTCTGGAAGATAAGGTCAAATTCTGAGACGAAATTGCCCAATACTATTGTCTTATATGTTTTAGACACATAAGACACATGGCTGAGATTTTGATGGACGAAGACCAACACACTGACAGAAGAATCAGTCAGCGCATAGAGAACTTTAATTGAACACAGAGAAGATGGAGATGACTGATCTCTCCAACTAACAATGAAGATAACTAACCAACCATCTTTTCAAGCAACCAACCACTACCAGCAACAAGCACCAATCACTCTCAGTGAAATACATTTGTAATGTGACTTTTCCCTTACTTATCTGCACATGACTAGTTTGACTACAGGCAGGCGGAACGGATGAGAATGTCAAAGCCATGTATAATCAGACACTTATGACAAGCCCTCATGCTAACACTAAAATTGATTTGGAAATCGTCGGAGCTCCACCTGAGAATAACGATAAAGATAAGAATTTTCAACAGCAATTTTAAGTCAGTTAGTCAGTCCTTCTGTATGCGTCTGAAACTGGGTAAGTGAATCACGAATAGTATCTGGAGGAGTCAGCTGCACACCTTCATCAACAATTAGCACTCAGTAGAACAGTAATGATAATAAAACACGAAAAAATATCACTTCCAGGGGTTGAGGCTTGAAAACATTCAAACGCCGGTGTGAAAACTTGTGGTGCGGCTCAACAATCTACTTTATTGACGCGCTTAGTGAAAGCTCAAGACTGTTTAGCAGTTCGGCTTCCACGAAATTAGCTTGTCAGCATATTAGAACATACTTATTCATGAAATTCATCTGAATAGAAGTGTGAAACTGGAGGATCATTGCATATATATGAATAAATGTGTAAAGCGGGTTGACGTTCTTGACTGAATAGACTTGTTGTACCTCAACAGCCTCTGCTTTGCTAGTGCAACCGTCTCTAACAACCACTTGGTGACTAAGTGATGTGAAGGATTTATCACATCTAGTATTAGGTGGAGCTGATCATCTACTTCAGAAATAAACACATATCTTGATACCGACAGGACCCACACTCTCAGCCACATCGATGCCATCTCTTCTGGACTAGGCGGAATCAAAGAGAGTGTTTTGCACAGCGGTCAAAATTATTCATGGATTATCCAACGATGAATGATCACCATTGGAAAGGCATTCTACTACTGTCAATCTTAGGGGACAAATGATTTTATTACGAAGTCGAATAAAAGACAAAAGACAGCAAATAATGAAAACAAATTTTCGTTGCTGATCACGAAATATATGTGTGCAATTATTCCATTGAATCACTACAACTACAACTGCAAGTCTGATCTAAATTTAGATATGTGACGTCTGCGGTTGAAGAGTGAACTGGGGAATAGAATTCAGCAGTAAGATGATCTACATTCTGTTTTGTCTCTTCCTCGGATAGAAAAAACCTCAGTATTCCGTAACTGCATCGTCTGGAGAACATCAAAATCACTTGCATGAATTAGCGAGATAGAATATTCACCAATGACACCTTCGATCGACGTTTAAAGAACAGAACAACTTGACAAATCCATCAAACTATATTAAAAAAACCCTCATGAACTGCAAACAATATCAACATTATTTTTGGAAAAGAAAAGGATACCACAATGAACTGACAGAGCGGCAAATTACAAAGATATTAACCAGAAAACTTATGCGGTTCTACAATTCCTCGAGAATGTACAGATAACTTAAGATTTGATAACTTGGGGTTCTACTCTGCCAAATATTAGATATGATAAACTGTAACTTCTGAATGAACTAGTCTAGATGCTTGTGTACGTTGAGGAAAGACTACCCAGAAACAATCGCTGCATTATTAATGCATATATGGTGGTTTTTCGAAACGAGAATTTGAATCTTCATCAAACGTTTATTACAAACAACATAAAATATTGTATAAATATTTATACAACTGGAACTCACCCGCAATATTTGCTGAGAAGTCACCAGCTAACTTCATGCTGATAGAATATTTCGTTCGACTATTTATACTCCGAAAACATGACACCATTTCAATCATTGGCTGTCTCCATTAACCAATGAAAAAATTGACAGCATTTGTTTGTTAATGTTTGTGTGATGAGCCATTATTCAGTCACGTTTTGATTCAAAGGCCTAAATACAACAAAGATGTTACTCACAGGAAAATGTGCATAAACTAAGACGTATGTTAAATGACACAAACTGAGAAATTTTCATTGAACAGACACTGGATGATACTATTTCCAATCTGACTGACTATCTTAAATTCTGCCTTGATGTATGCTGTCCAAAACAGATACATTTCAAAAGAATGGACCGTTACGCGTTCAAAGTTTAGAATGGAAAAAGAGAGACTGCACAAGACTAAGGATAAATCTGGTCTTAGGAGGATAAACACTGAGATTAATTCCGAAATCAAGAGGCTGAAGAATATTTATAATCAAAAATATTGTCTTGTAAAACTCCAGGAAACATGCGGAAGCTTTACAAGGAAATTACAGGTTGCAGTAAGCATAATATTTGTACCTCTTCTATTGATGAAATACTCCTAATGGATCTTCTATCCTCCCTCATAATGTCCCTTTTACCTTCAATGTAACAAATAACATGACCATTGACTTTCATAGTTTCAATACTTCTTGTAAGCGCAATATCGCTTGAAATTAAGTCACGCGTAGATAAAGGCTATCCCGGTCCAGAACAAACAAGAAGCCGGTCACTGTTTCTGCGGTACTCTTAATAAACAAATCAATAATTATATATACAACAAACCTCAACGGTTTCAAGGGTACAAAGCACAACGCTTAACGGAAGGCCAGCAACCGCTATCAGAGCGGAATAACGTTAAAGCCAAAATTGCGAACTAGCGGGAATCAGACACAATCATTTACGTAAGCAGTTAGTAGAAGAATGAACCCAAGTACGGCAGGTTAAGAGATAGACAGAGCATAGGCATAATGATAGAATTTAATTGGCTACTTAACCAGTTAGGAAGATACAGATGAAGATCAATAAATAAGGTAAACTCGACAGAATAGTACAAAGAAAGATATGGGTCAGCGAAAATAACACTTCGCAAAATACTCTGATTGGGTCATGAGTTCAACTGTCTGACTAAACGAATCGATGTAAAAACACATACACACAGTTCATTAAACAAGGAGGGATAGACACGATAGACATGGATAATTGGGTTGCAACAACGCTAGGCTGATCCGGAAGAGGTTGACTTGATTCAAGGATGGGAATTGAATTGATCTTACACTTCTGATGTTCTTAAATGTATAAAATCTCTTAAACCATCCCAGAGTCTAGGCCTTGATAGTATACCTGCCATTGTTCTAAGGAAATGTGCTGATATTTTAAGTAACCTACTTACAAACATTTTCAAAACGTTTTTTCTAATAATGTTGTAGGCTCTCTGTGGAAAGATACTTTTTGAAACTTATGGAGAAATTACTGTAAATAAAACTTGTTCCCTCCCTAAGCTTCTCAAATGATTCAAAGCAGTTTGCTTACAAACAGGGTAGAAGTACTTTAGACGCTGCTGTCGTGTTTCATCACAACATCGTATCCTCCTTAGACAAAGGGGCCAAGTATGTCCATTTTACTTTCTTTGATTACACATGTGCTTTCGACTCTGTACCTAGAGGCCTTTTTTTAAACAAGCTTAGCCTTACACAAACTGAGTCCTGGGCTACCAACTGGCTGCACTCTTACTTCTCCTGATAGGATGCAGTAAACGGTAATATAATGGTGAAGCTTCCCCTCCTTTGTTTACTGAAGCTGATGTTCCCCAGGGTGCTGTTCTCTATCCGTTTCTCTTTTCTTTCTTCCTACGTGACTTGGCTATTTCAGACGTAATCAACTTCGTCAAATCTCCAGATGACCTGACTAATTCGCTTCCCTTTAAGTTTCAGTCAGACTGTTTCAAATTAAATAGCTTCCTATCGGACATCAGTTAGTGCTGTAAACTACATGGCCTCATGCTGAATACCTCAAAATGCCAGACTGTTGACTTCTCCTTTAGGTATAAACGAGATCTACAAACACTAGTAAGCATTCATGAAGCCTGTAGCATTGAGGGGACTAAAATTGAAACTATGTCTAATGCAAAATACGTTGGATTAGTTCTATCTTCGCACCTCCTTGCATCTCATCAGGTAGAACAAGAAATCAGTAGAAAATAATATACGCTCGTACAACCAAGTATAGGAAATCAACGATACCATATTTAGCCCGTGTTCTAAGTGACAGAGACAGTGTTAAGCGCAAAACCTATGACTTGCATTGTTGTTAATAACATAATTTTGGTTCTTTTATTCTCCGTCTTATTTGTTTTCTATAGTGAACAACCTTCTTAAACATACTTAGCTACCTAAAATTAATAACATTGGCTTACTTTTTTATACTTTATTCTATTCCTACTTTCGTGTATCTACTGGTCCCGACTATGTTATCACTATGAGTATTACAAAATGGGTTGTCATTAACCATCATGTAATATTAGTTTTGTGTTTGTTTTTTTTTTCGGCAATATTAAACTGACAATCTTGGTTGTGAACGCCGTTATCAGCATCCAAAAATGTTTGTATAATTCATGATTACTCACACGACCACTACAAACACCGCATTAGTGCTGACAATCAAAACCCTGAAATGTTTATTTTATGATTGTTTAGTGTAGTTCAATCAAACTAACTGATCATCTTGGCTATAAACAATCTTAGTAACATTTAATAGTTTCTTGTATGATTATGGCTGTTACTGTTCACCACGCATACACATATCCTGGCTTCCAATACCCAAACCTGAAATATTATTTATTATTGTTGTTTATTTTCCATTCTTCTTTTTGGCATATTTTTTCGCATTTTTTTGCTATTTCGTGTTTATTTTTGTTTTTGTTGTAGTTGTTTTTTATATTCATCTTTTGAAATACTCCTTTCAAATGTTTGATAAGATGAGATGCCATATTGTAGATAAGTGCTGAAAATTCCACACTGTACCGATGGTACTGTTTCAGAAATAAAAGTAAAATTATTATTTTTTATATTTGGAGGAATGAAATGCTGATCGACATCTCAGGAACGATTGACTCTTCTACTAATAATGACAGTAAATTCAGAAAATCAAAATGTTGATGATGATTTTGCAGTAACGGTGGTGATTGTTTTAGCTTCAGTGTTTCAGTGAATAAAGCATTCACGTTTGAAACGATGGGTGATTCATTTAAGGTCTCTATTGAAAAAGCACCATAGACTGATTTATACAATCAATGAGTCCCGGAAAGGTCGAAATGCGTATTGTTGATACGATTGCATCGGCAGTACACATCTACTGTGTGCGGTTGTAATTAGAAGTCATGAGTTATAGAGCATTGAGTTGGATCTCGCTGGTTTAATGGTCTAAGAGCAAGCTTCACTTGTAGCCAGAAGGCCTGAGTTCAGAACCTCTGAGGTGGCTTAGTACGTCCGTTAAGTCTAATACTAGGCTGACGCGGCAGCGGTCCTATACTCTCAAGGGCTTCACGATTGCAGAAAAGTTCAAATCAAATATCACTCAATCAACGAAAACAAACTGATGTGTGAACAACTGAAGTTGAATCGTAAACAAATGACCATCGTAAGGCAATTCATTCGTGCTTAATGATTAAAGATTCCTTAATCGCGTCGTGTATTGAGACTGGAACTAGTGGACAACTGTGTCGTCACGGCTCTTTACGTATCGGGATTTTTCATTTTCTGCGTGAAGTTGAAGTTATAATTCATGGTTAATGGATCAATGAGTCGGATCTCACTGGTTGAGTGACCTAAGAACAATATTTACAGGTGACCAGCAGTCCATAGTTCAGAACCTCGTTGGTAGCTGCATACTTGCTCTAAGTTTAAATTTACGATGACGAAACACCAGTCCAATATTCTCAAATGTGTTTCGATTGCTTCACAATTCATTTCACTCCATCATCCAACATCAAATACAAATCAATCTTCGACAACAAGTTCGTGGGAACAAATCATAATTGATTGAGAAACGAATGTATTTTTAAGGTTATCCATTTTCTGCTGTCTGCATGGGACAAATTCGAATCGTATGTACAAAATCGACATGCTCATTCTCCGTATGTCTTCGATCAGTGCATTGTAAACGTGTGTTAACTGTTAAGACATTAGGCAAAATGACAGCCAATCTACGGTCTGAATCTTTAGAATAGTCTTTGCATATCACGACAGTCAATTGAAGACGCCAATTTGAATCATGTCAATCTCTAAAAGTCACAAAATATATTTCGATTGCTGTCCTACAGGTAGTGAATCATGAGCAAGAATACACTAGTGATATCATCTCTGACTGCCACATAGTGTTACGCGTTTTCAAACTTCAGAGAAGTGATGAGTTCCTTGAGCTTCGCAGATATGACTTAGTGCTGAGTGTAAAGAAGCACTGGGGAATGTGATGCCTGTCAAGTGCCTTGAACTATGCCTCAAATAAGAAAAATCTTCGTTTCACATGAACGCTGCAGATAAACAACATGAGGCAGAGGCAGTGTAAAATACACTTGACTATCCATGGGAATATTAAGTATTATGTTAATAACTTCTGTCATCATTAGTATATCATAGTTCTCCAGAGAGTTTCGATATGGCGCTTGTTTGACACGATTTAATTTATTCTTCAACACGGGAAGTAATCAACAGTCATATTTTTAATAAAATAGTAGCGGTGGAATATTTGGAGTAGAAGTTATTCCGAATTCAGATTCAAAGCCTTATAGCTTTAGGAGAAATCACATAAATACTCCAACATTTTTCCAGTGGATACAGAAAACGGTTGAAGAATGCAAACTGAGAAATAGTGTAGTGGTGGCTAGTAGATCATTTCACTCACAAACAAATATTCTGACGAGAAATTTCGCCTAAAACATCATGCGTGTTATTCGAAAAACAAAATCATTTTTTCAAACAG